TTTTATTAGGCCGCGCATGTTATACACTGTATGCAGACCCGTCAATCATGCAATGCCCCCCCCCCCCCCCGTTCACTGTGTAATACCGGTAGTCATTTTATTATGTTTTGTGTGATATAATAAACAGCATATACAAATACAACTTGCATGTAAATGTATGCGCATTACTTCTTACGGTCAATTAATTCATTTGTTACTTTGTAGAGATGTCACAGAATTTGAATTTTTTCCTTCTACCACTATGTACAATGTAAAAATTGAAAGTGATACGGAAATCAAATATAACAGTGTGGTTTCTAGATACCTGTTAATAAGGCCAGTTAAAGTGTAGATAATAGGGAACTGTCAAAAATAAAACAATATATTTATGCTTTACATACATGTACCTGATTTTCTTTACCTATTTCATCGGCATGAATTAGAACATGTCAAGGTCACATGCATACCTGGCTTTAACATGTTTAACACGTGGTTGTCCGCAAGCATGGAATTAGGTGCTTGTTAACTTACTAACTGAAATATACAGATGTACAGGGACATTTTCATTTTAAATTACCACTTATTATTCATTTATTTTCGAGAACCATTTTATCTAAATAAATAAATATTATTTTAAAAAGCAGCAATATTTGCTTGTCAATAACCTGGCCATAAAAAAATACTTTTACGGTGACATGCTTATTTCCTTTCCAGTCTTTTAGTGAAAGGTGTCGTGAATCCCAGGTGGTTATATATGTAGGACTGCATGAAACTACTATTTAATTTGTATTTTCTAAATGTTTTGTCATTCTTATACTACATGGTTTTCTATTTCCATTAAACTGTCCATATACCGATATTACATACTAGTTCAAGAATAAGTACTACTATCTGTGACAGTAACCACTTAGAAAAAAGCTGACGTGCCATTAACTGCCTCCTGTTAACATTCTAAACAAAACCATTGCTGAAAATAAAGTATTTTGATGCTCGTTCCCGATGTCTGAAATTTACGGAGACATCCGACCGTATAGAACAGCGAATCACACGACCTTTCCTGAATGAAGAGAAAATAAATTTACTAAAATTTTGCCGTATTTATTAAGAAGTACATCGTACATGTAAAAGATGTAGAAGAGAAATTCATAAATACAACACATTAATTCCAAACACTTAATTATGCTGTATACTTGATTTAACATGAAAGGCAATACAAGCCTCGTGTTTTTTTTTTTTTTTCTTCTTCTTTTTTCTTTATGGTGACATGTTTATTATTATGACTATTGCAATAACAGGATATTTAGAAAGCTCTGTTAAGAAAACGGAAACATTGCAGCTGTCATATTAACAAAAGTGTAAAGTATATTGTATAGAAATTATTGCAGATCAGATCAGAAAACATTGAATTTTACATATAATCTGACTAAGAAAACTGGTACTTATTTCTTGCTTTATGGAAATCAAAGTTAAACATTAAATATTCTCCATTTGCATCAAAATGAATTTTCAAATATATTTAGTTTTCTTTCTTTCTGATTATTTCAGTTGATTTCTTTATTCTGAGAGGGGACCCTGAGAGGTTGGATAATGTGTATCGCTTACTGAAAACTTCTAATTAATCAAGCACACTGTATTTTAGATATTTGTTTATAACTGATCGGATTACTAGAAATAAAACTAAAACTAAACCAGTTGTTCAAAAAAAAAATAGATTTTATCTTGAAACTCCCAACTTGGATTATCAAGAAAAAAAAATTATCAATGTATCGCAATGAAATATATGGAGATAACGAACAGTATTCAAGCTCAAAAGTCCATTAATCAATACAAAATAGGAGATGAGCAAACACGGACCTCCAAACATCAGAGGTGGGATCAGGTGCCATGGAGGAGTGAGCATCCCCTGCCGACCGGTCACACCCGCCGTGTGCTCCTTGTCATGATCGGGAAATAACGGAAAAATCCGTCGACAATTCAGTATGTAAATAATGGCCTAACAATTAGTGTGAAAAACGTCAGTCAGCATTTGATTCAATGATAAATTGTATTTGCTGACAAGGTCATTGTATCGACCATAGAACTTACGAAATGATGACTTTAAACGAGACAGCTGATATTCTTGTTTCATCAACTTATTTGTCAATAACTTACCTCGTTTTAGAAATTGTACATACGTAGAGCATGCTCTTGCGTATCGAATCAACTGAGAGATATATACCCCGTATGCAGGTGATGAAGGTATATTGCTGCATAAGTAAGGGAGGTTGACGATTGAAAAGTTAAAGTCATCACGTTTATCATAAAGCTTGGTTGTTAGATTACCATTAACGTCTTTTTCAAGTAAAATATCCAAATATGAAACAGATGTGTCGGACTCTGTGGTATCTTTTATCTCAAGTTCACAAGGATATACATGTATCGTATCGACATGAGAATGGAAAAAGCCATTGTTAATTGACAATACGTCGTCGATATATCTAAATGTCGAGTTGAAGGTCACAGCAAGTGTTTTCTTCTTTTCACGTACAAGATTTTGGACAAATTCTGCTTCATATGAATACAAAAAAAGGTCTGCTAATAACGGGGCGCAATTGGTACCCATGGGAATTCCAATAGATTGTTGGAAGACCTGGTCTCCAAAAACCACATAGATATTGTCAATCAGAAACTCAAGCATCTTTTTAATGTCAACTTCAGAGTACTTGTGTGAACAATCAGAATGTTTTTTGACAAAATAATTTTGCAAATGACCAATGACAAGGTAAGTATATTTACGAGTTCCATTTTTATTGAAAAAGCAGCTGTCAATGATATCAAAAAGCCTAAATATAATTTAGATTTTTTTTGTGTTTTAAATGATTTTCTGTAATGTGTGAGGGAAAATTTAAAAAGAGTTGGTTGTTCTGAGTCTACCTGTCACGTCAACATTGCGTAACTGACTGCTTGTGATATCCGGCAAGTGCTCTTCTGTATATATACAGCAGTGACACCTATTGTCTTATTTTCTCGCTACCGCATTGTGTAATTCACAGTGCTTCCGTTTGTGTAGTACTTCAGAGCGCTGCCATTTGTCAGCGTCTGAGTAGAACTTCAATGCGCTTCCGATTGTGTACAATATCCATATTCATAGTATTTGAATACGCTGCTGTGTTAAATAAAAATCATCTTTTAAAGGAACACTGTTAATTGTACACAATTATACACTAAACAATTGTTTCCGATAAAGCTATATTTTTTAATTACGTTCATAGTATATGGCTTGAGTTTTTTTTAATCCAAAGGTATTAGTTATTTTTCAAAATGAAAGGATACAAGATTCTAAAGCTTAGAACGTCTACTGAGTCATTCGTGACTATTATATGTACTGTACAGTATTATAACAGATGGGCAGTAAGACCTAATTACAGTTGAAAAATACTGTAGGATAATTAGAACCAGTCAAAATAAAACAAAAAATGGATTTTAAACGGAGTTATAATTTATTTTCATTTACTGTATTTAATGTCTTATTTTTGCGTTATCACCAAGAAAACATGTATACGCAGCTATGACAATGATAAGTTCCTGGTAAATCAAGCGAGGGTTATATAATTTAAGTATACTTGCCATCAGTCTGATTAACAGATCAATTGTTTTCCAAACATCGAAGATTGCATTTGATATTATATAACTACATGTTATTACAATTTTAGCGCCATGTGTTTTACATATAGATCCCAAACTTTAAACTTTGAATATCTTAATTCCTTTAACGATTCTAACTACTTTCTTCTACTTTCATTTGCGTGTGTGCTGAAACAATCAGCAAACTTTTTCGTACAAAATATCACCTGAGCATAAAACAAAACCTACCGGTATTATTTACTGCTGTCGGTGTTCATTTTAATTTATAACAAGCACATATAACAAAACTTTCAGTTATCCCCCATGTTCATTTTCAAAATAATTTTCATAATTCGCGATAGGTAAAAAAAACTTTTTTTCAAATGTTTTCATGCATGTTGTAAAATTTTGAATTAACCGAGTAACAGTAAATACAAAATTTACAAAGTGATAGCTACTTTTACTTATTGACGCGGTCAATTTACAACATGACAATCCAATGAGATATGGGATGTGATTTTGAAATTCGAAATATTTCTTTTTAAGATGTTGCACCAACAGCTTAAATATTGATAATAGTAATAGCATTAAAAATATGCAATAAATGATTAATATCAGTCAAAATACATCTATTTCATATAATTTTAATAAACAGTAAAATTTATTTTAATAAGTTGTTAAGTTAAGTTGTGACACATCACCGCTTTATTTCTCTATATATATCTGCTTTAATTAATTAAAGATCATCTAAAATGTTTTTGCTTTAATTATTTATTTATTCATTTAATAATATCTTATCTATTTATTATTTATTTTTATGATATTGATCATCAGAAACGAACAACTTTCAGGTAAAAGATGTTTGAGAATCGTTGTAACTTTTAACTGACATTATGTTTTACAAGGAAAGGTTGCAACATGTTCATTAAAATTTTTATGTGTGCCGTGCAATAGAATATGTTTGAAACATTACCATTATCCTGACATTAAGGACTCCTGTATTTGCACAGAAGAATCGTAACTCACTCTAAACATTCAGGTGTGGATCGAGAATTATTGGACAATACAAACTATTTATCATGATGTTTAATATTGGTAAAATAAATTTAAAAAAAAAGAAGAAATTTCACAAATAATTAACTAATTGATTGATATCAAAGACAAATAAATCTGATATCATATTTCAAAAAATATATGCATAGAACACTCAATTAAATATCCCTTTAAAATTCCAAATGCAAATAATTTATTTAATTCAATGAATGAGAAGCAAAAACAATTCCAGTTTAATTGTTCACATTAGGTTTCAAAATACTTGTACCTACACATTTCGATTTGAGGAGAGTTTAAAATAAATAAATTTGACCATTATATTACAATAAAACTCAAAAGAAAATAGTAATTTTTGTAACAAATAGCCTCAGTGTCACTCAGGATTACCTTAGTAGCTAGTTTTAAACCTCAGGGCTACTCAGTATCAGCTCAGTTCCCTCAGAGCCACCTCAGTATCCCTCAGTACCCCCTCAGTACCAAGAGAGTAAACCTCAGTGCCTTTCAGTATGTCCTCAGTGTCCACAGCGAAAACCTCAGTGCTACTCAGGACTACCTCAGTTTACTCAGTACCAGGCTCAGTACCACTCAGGGTTTTCTCAGTACAACTCAGTACTTCCTCAGGGTTTTGTTAGATTCTCAGTGCTTTTTAGTTACAGTAGTGAAATATAAACCCTTAACAATGTTAAGAGTTTTCAACGTACATTTACAAAGAAAGGTAAAGAAAAGTCTTAGAAAATGCTATATTTTCAAATTGATTCAAAGGATTTTGAATGTTGAAGTCACTAACAACGATTCTTCTAAATTGATATTATTTGTACATGAAATTAAGCAAGAGAGCATGTGTTACATACTGGATCGTGATTATATGTACAAATTTATTTGTACTTTTATAATTATTTTGAAATGAAATGTGAAGATAACAAACAGTAATTAAGCTCAAAATTCCATTGAAATAATACATGAATGTACATATTTCGAGCAGAGCAAACATGGATCTCTAAAAGATCAGATATAGTATCAGTACCATGGAAGAGTAAGCATTCCTTGTCGACCGGACACACCGTCGCGTGCCCCATAGAGTAAACGTAAATTTCTGTCGACAATTCAGTAATGAAATATTGTCCTAACAATTTGTATGAAAATGTCAATATTCGATTTAACGCTAGATTGTACATGTATTTGCAAATCTCGGTCATTGTATCGGCTTTAAATTTTGCAAATTATACGCTGGCTTTAAATGAGATTGCTTATAATCGTGTATCATCAACTTATTTGCGAATGGCTTGCATCATTTTAGAAATTGTTCGTACTTAGTACATACTCTTGCGTATTGATTTAAGTGGGAAAAAATAAAGCCATGTGAGGTGATAATGGTATATTGCTTCATAAATAAGAGAAGTTGACGATAGAAATTTGAAATCATATGCATTTTAACATAAATTTTTGGTTGTTAGTTTGCTATCAATGTCTTTCTCTAGATAAATATCCAAATATGAAACAGATCTAGACGTGTCGGACTCTGTGGTATCTTTTATTTCGAATTCAAAAGGATATATCGAATCAAGGAATGAAAATTAATATTGATACTTCATAAAGTGTCGTCGATATATCTAAATATCAAATAAAAGACCACATAAATAGACCCTTTCCTTTCAGGTAGGAATTTGCAATAAATTCTGGTTCATATGAATTAAAACATGTTTGCTAATAACGGGGCAAAATAAGTACCTTATTGAATTCCAACAGATTGTTGGAAAACATGATCTCCGACAAATGGATAGATATTGGCATTCAGAAACTCAAGCATCTTTTTAAATCAACATCGGAGTACTTGTGTGTAGAATAACAATGCTTTAAAGAAATAAATTTTCAGGCAAATAACATGGTATGCAAATTTACGAGTTCCATTTTTATTGGAGAAACTGTTATATATGATGTCAAAAAGCCAGCTCTTTAATTTATCCTGGGGAATGGTTGTATAAAGTATTGAAAAGTTGAATGTTTTTATGCCATTGATTTTGGTAAAATTTTCTGATTTCGATTTTTTTCTTAAAGTTCTTTTGAGTATCCCCGTCTGATTAAGTCTAGTTCTTGCTCTAATATGCTGTGATACAGTATACTCCCGAAGTTTCTCCTTTATCTATTGATATTGTCGTGAGGAGTAAAGAAAGATAACTAAAAGAAAATAACAAATTAAACTATGGTACATGTACTGGGATCCTTTGATCTCACATATCTGGAGCTGTTTCATAACATAAACCTATAATTATACAATTGAATTTTTATTAAGATGTGTATTGCCTACAAATTTTTCCGTTTGCCCGACAAGGAGCAGTTGGCGGGTGTGATCGATCGACGGAGGATGTTTCCTCCCCCATGGTACCTGATCTCACCATTGATGTTTTTGGAGCTCCGAGTTTGCTCTGTTCTCAGTTTGTGTTGTTTCAATGGACTTTTAAGCTTGATAACTGTTCTTTATCTTCATATTTTATTCTATAAATCACAGCTGAATTCGATCATGGTTATTTGTTGATAGAAAAAAGGGTTGTCAAGGAGTTCATATCAGTCACAACTTTAAGGAAATTAATAACAATAAACACCGTGACATTGTACCAAGGTATTTGTTGATAAAATCCTCTTCAGCATGATTAACGATAGTAATATTGTATAGTTTATAGCAATATAACATAGCTTATTTTAATGATTCTCACCTTGATGAGCTTGGTAATGAATACAATTATGAATGTTCATGTATGCAAAATACAAAACACTAAAATTAGGTTCAGAAATGATGACAGAATAAAGATTAAATTGAAAAATGTTTTTAAAAGTTAGGATAAAACACGAGAAACACGAAAGGGAAGAAAACGTTTAATAAAAATAAATCTTTGATAGAATCTCTGATGTCTAATGTCCGTTCAGACGTGGAAGGATGTCAATTTAGATCAAGGAGAAAAGGGAAGACGAAAAGACATACAAAGGAAAAAGAAGATGAAAAAAGTTGTTTAAACGGAATTAAAAAAAAATGCCAAAAATAAAAACTAGTGCTAATTGTAACAGGAACCGGCTAATTGTAAAAGGAACCGTTAAAGTTGTTCCCCAAACACTCCCCCCTCCATTATGGGCCCCATCCCTTACAGGCTTCATTGCCTTCAGGCAATTCTTTTGTGTAATAAATCTACACTTTATTTTCAGAAGTATTGTATGGAAAAAGAACGCCGGTATAGTCCTTTGAGTATTAGCCAATCAGATTTCAGAGTACGCCCATGTCCATGTTATCTAGATATTTCACATGTTTTTTCGTAAAGAGAATCACGATAAATATCTACGTAAAAAATCTCAAACAATGTCTTTGGAAACTATGAGAGATACAGCCATATAAGTATTAGCCAATCAGAATCCAGCACACATGCATTCATGTTCTTGCATTTAATTTTGATAGTAGCACAATGTTGAAACCTTATACCTATCTATATTCTAAATTTCATCCTTTTTTTTCTCGAAAACTAAGAAATTTACAGCCATTTAAAGTTTAAGTCAATCAAATTGCAGTATAATGCATAATGTAGAATCTCCTTATGTACGAATATGTTTTAAATTTAGAGTATTTCATCAAAAACAAGAAGGTTATTGAGATTTTTTGTGTCAGCCAATCAGAGCAAAGCACACGTGCATGCGCATGACTTCTTGCTATTTCAACCACCTCATCTTTTCTACATCACTTATATAATTATGTTGAAATAATAAGGTTCAATGCATATCATCAAAAAATAGGAAGGTAAAAGCTGTTTCAATTGTATCAGCCATTTCACTCCTCGCAAGCGCACGCACGTGCATGCAAGTGCTCGTGAAATGACCTTCCGTCCGCACATCTACACAACTTGCCTGTTAGCACTAAAAAGGTTTCATTCTAATTGGATGAGTAGATTTTGAGAATACACGCGGACAAAAAAGTACCGGAGAAGAAATTTTGAAAAAAGAAAGTAAAAACAGTATGTTCTGAAACTTCTTTTGGGGATCATAATTATCCTTAATGTCGGTTGTCCGTAGTCCGTACTCTTGGAAGAAAGTCAAAATGAATGATAAATATCGGGACCGTCATAGTCGAAAAAATAGAGTTTCCAAGCGTCTCTGTTTTTACCCTTTTCACGCAGAGGACGCACATCTCTCTGTCTTTTCCATGAAATTGCAAAATGAAATGAAAAACTTAGAAAATGTAACTAATGGGCACCATGGGCCTTTTGAATTCTCCTAAAGAGCAAGGAAGGACATGTATGATAGTGACTTTATTGCATAGAGGCAATTTGTAAATTGTAACAATATATGGTAAATATGACCCGTAAACATATACACGAAATGTAGATTTTATGTCGTGGAATTAAAGTTATCATGTAAATATATATTCTGAATAGTAATGGAAACATTTTTATTTAACCTACCTAAGAATGGTTTTCAATAAAGTACTAGATAGGAGCGGGGAGCGGGGGGGGGGTGTAATTATTTTAGCTGAGTGCTTACAGTACCTCTTTATATTTTTTTTTTCGCAGAATAGATTTATGTTGTTTCATTTAATCGTTTTTATAAAAGAAAAAATTACAATAATAAACAATTTCATTTGTCGAAATATATCAGAATCAAAATGATTTTTTTATCTAAAATTTTACAAAAATCCATTACTTATAAAAAAAGAAAAAAATCATGATGAACTCTCCTTCCAGGTCTACAGGTATTACAGCTGGTATACGAGTATACTGTCATTTCCTCTGAGAACGTTCCTTTTACTACCACACATCCCCTTGTAAGAGCAAACAAAGCCTGCAAATATACATGTACAAAACCATTTAGACAAATTTCTCTAGTTTTTCCAATAAAAAAGACTTTATATGGATTATTGTCAAAATATTTATAGCAGAACAGCAATTCTCACAATACTTTTGGAACAACACATGTTTTTTTCCCAAAAGATCTTTTTCGCCGACAACATTTCAAAAACTGTTAATTGACAAGGTACTCCATTCTCTGAAAGAGGACAGAACGGCAGAACATTATATTTGTTTCGTCAATGTTAGTGAATGTTAAGTTGACATTAAAGATAAATAAATGAGGAAAATAATCATTTAAATTAAGCGTTAACAGCAAGGTTTAAATTTTATATACGAATTTAGAATCGAGCAGAGTGTTCTTGGAAAACATGATAAACTGTTTTAAAAATTTCTCTCGAGTTAAAATTGATTTTCCCTGTAAAACTTACGATACAGTTTTTGGTATTTGATAAACCATTTTGCCACAATGGTAGGATTTGGCATTTTTCTCTACACACTGAGAAATCATGTCTGAGAAAATCCAGACTTGGGCGAGAAATTCTCGCTATTAGTCAGGAAGTGCCCCTAAGCGGAATCCAACATGAAGGCTAGATTCATGCCTTGTTATGTTTATAGTCATCAAAAAAAAAATAAATAAATAAAATATAAATTTCTATTTCACTTTACAAAAATGATGTTTTGATTTTTTAAACAGCGTAAGTCTGCCGTTTATTTCAGTAAGACAAAGCAAACCAACGACTCTTTTTCTTTGGAAAATTTATTGGATTTTGGGAATGAATCTCAAAGTCATTGAGAGCAATATTTAATAGTGAATCATTTGCTCCTTTTCATGACGAGCCTGGAAAAGGGTCTTAATTCATTCAAAAAGACATGAAGATTTTTGCTTTACAGCTACATAGCTGATCAATATCTATCAATGATGCATAAGTTCATAGGTGACATAAATTGAACTAAGGTGGTTTCAATTTAGCTCATTACTAGTTAAATGTTTTATCAACTTTAATGTCGGTTGTCCGTAGTCCGTACTCTTGGAAGAAAGTCAAAATGAATGATAAATATCGGGACCGTCATAGTCGAAAAAATAGAGTTTCCAAGCGTCTCTGTTTTTACCCTTTTCACGCAGAGGACGCACATCTCTCTGTCTTTTCCATGAAATTGCAAAATGAAATGAAAAACTTAGAAAATGTAACTAATGGGCACCATGGGCCTTTTGAATTCTCCTAAAGAGCAAGGAAGGACATGTATGATAGTGACTTTATTGCATAGAGGCAATTTGTAAATTGTAACAATATATGGTAAATATGACCCGTAAACATATACACGAAATGTAGATTTTATGTCGTGGAATTAAAGTTATCATGTAAATATATATTCTGAATAGTAATGGAAACATTTTTATTTAACTTACCTAAGAATGGTTTTCAATAAAGTACTAGATAGGAGCGGGGAGCGGGGGGGGGGGGGTGTAATTATTTTAGCTGAGTGCTTACAGTACCTCTTTATATTTTTTTTTTCGCAGAATAGATTTATGTTGTTTCATTTAATCGTTTTTATAAAAGAAAAAATTACAATAATAAACAATTTCATTTGTCGAAATATATCAGAATCAAAATGATTTTTTTATCTAAAATTTTACAAAAATCCATTACTTATAAAAAAAGAAAAAAATCATGATGAACTCTCCTTCCAGGTCTACAGGTATTACAGCTGGTATACGAGTATACTGTCATTTCCTCTGAGAACGTTCCTTTTACTACCACACATCCCCTTGTAAGAGCAAACAAAGCCTGCAAATATACATGTACAAAACCATTTAGACAAATTTCTCTAGTTTTTCCAATAAAAAAGACTTTATATGGATTATTGTCAAAATATTTATAGCAGAACAGCAATTCTCACAATACTTTTGGAACAACACATGTTTTTTTTCCCAAAAGATCTTTTTCGCCGACAACATTTCAAAAACTGTTAATTGACAAGGTACTCCATTCTCTGAAAGAGGACAGAACGGCAGAACATTATATTTGTTTCGTCAATGTTAGTGAATGTTAAGTTGACATTAAAGATAAATAAATGAGGAAAATAATCATTTAAATTAAGCGTTAACAGCAAGGTTTAAATTTTATATACGAATTTAGAATCGAGCAGAGTGTTCTTGGAAAACATGATAAACTGTTTTAAAAATTTCTCTCGAGTTAAAATTGATTTTCCCTGTAAAACTTACGATACAGTTTTTGGTATTTGATAAACCATTTTGCCACAATGGTAGGATTTGGCATTTTTCTCTACACACTGAGAAATCATGTCTGAGAAAATCCAGACTTGGGCGAGAAATTCTCGCTATTAGTCAGGAAGTGCCCCTAAGCGGAATCCAACATGAAGGCTAGATTCATGCCTTGTTATGTTTATAGTCATCAAAAAAAAAATAAATAAATAAAATATAAATTTCTATTTCACTTTACAAAAATGATGTTTTGATTTTTTAAACAGCGTAAGTCTGCCGTTTATTTCAGTAAGACAAAGCAAACCAACGACTCTTTTTCTTTGGAAAATTTATTGGATTTTGGGAATGAATCTCAAAGTCATTGAGAGCAATATTTAATAGTGAATCATTTGCTCCTTTTCATGACGAGCCTGGAAAAGGGTCTTAATTCATTCAAAAAGACATGAAGATTTTTGCTTTACAGCTACATAGCTGATCAATATCTATCAATGATGCATAAGTTCATAGGTGACATAAATTGAACTAAGGTGGTTTCAATTTAGCTCATTACTAGTTAAATGTTTTATCAACTTTAACTTTCTAAAAACGTAAATGGGAATCAAATTACATCAAACTTAATATATTTATTCACATAGAGTATCATTTCTACATTCATTAAGTTATCACTTCTAGGGGACGGATAAACATAAGTTTTAAACTTGTTTCCGAATCCTGTTTGATCTTTACTTAATGTCTGCTATTTATGCTTGTAATTTTCAAATAAAATATGTTTTAAACTACGCGATTACTTTTCTATAGGAAAATATTATATAATAAATATATAAATTTGGGATGGCAATCGAATACAGAATAGCTAATCGGTTAAACGCAAGACGTTCCGAGCGATTAATCGGTTAATCATATCAAAATACACATTTTCCTGATATTTTATTTTTCAAGTAAACTCTAGTTTTATACACAAGAAAGCTGAAAAAGACCTTAGTAGTATTCTGTTAATGCTTGATTAGAGCGCTATATATTTTATTTTATTTCAATTTCGGAAGGCAAATATATATATATATATATATATATATATATATATATATATATATATATATATATATATATATATATATATATATATATATATATATATATATATATATATGAGGGGTTATCAAAAGGTTCGTGGACTGATGCGATAAAATTAATACTATGCAGTTTATGTTTACAAAATTTGTAAGGAACATTAAACAACAAAAGTTTAAGAAGTGTTGAAAATTTTAGCTTGATACATTGGGAATTTGCCAAATTATTATAAAATAAAAGAGGCATTATATGATCACCCGGCGCTGTCGTCGTTTGGTTTCATGACGTCCGACAACGTCATTATTTCTCAATGTCTGCTCCTTCTGTCTCAATATACTTATCTTGACGAGATTCCCTGGAGTTTAGTAAAGCCTAAAACCTGTCTTGTTTATATGACATAACAATGTCATGAACAGCTGATTTCAATGCATATAAAATTGTAAATGTATCTTTACTAAGGAAAAGATCCTCGCTTGATTATGCCAGCATGTTTTGCTTGTTGGGATTCAATATAAAACACACATGATCAACGTCATTTTTTGACGAGATTGACTTTTCACACCTTGACTACAAATTGACATTAACTGCTCATCTCCTTGAATCTCTTTTGGTATTTAATAACAAGTACCCTGGATGCATTTTATTTCTCTGTAGCCAGTTTAAACTTTCCCTAAGTCTATACCAGTTTTTTCAGGGGCAAAACTTTAAAGAATGATGGAAAAAGAAACCCCTCCCCCTTTTTGACGTCATTTTCAAGCTTTTAATTGTATAGACACTCCTTATAAAATATACGATAAAATTTCGTAGAACGTACAGAATGTGATAAAAATTGCACATTTTGCGGAACAATTGTGTCCCATCACATGCCTGAATTAACGGAATTTTTGGATGTCAAGTGCTCATATCAAAAGAGTTTTTCCTAGTTACACTCAGGTTAAAAAAAAAGTCATGTTCGCGGTTGCGCCGCCTGGACATGCCATTGCTTATAAAAACATTACTAATTTATTAAAAAATTAAACTTATGAATTGTGGTTTATTCTATAGATAGAAAAGCTGATGCATACTAAATATTTCAAAATTCATTGATGTACCTAAAGCGGTTTTAATTTTATGGTGCTAGTCCACGAACTTTTTGATAACCCCTCGTATATATATATATATATATATATATATATATATATATATATATATATATATATATATATATATATATATATATATATATATATATATTAAATAAAAAAGAAACCATGAAACATCTCTTAGATATTAAAGAAATTGATAATGTTATAATACTAGGTCATTGTCACTATAATCAGAAAATGGGTCTGAAATATCTCTTAATCTACAATGTTTGTTTAAAAATATAATTTGACAGATATCTGCGAAGGATAGACAAGTAGATACACATTGCAGTCATTTTAATCATTTAACAGACCCAACAAAGATATAATTTATATCATTGAAGAAATTTAGGACCGGCTGGGCACCGACATGGTGTTTATACAACAATTAACACATCGGAAAATGACCAATTACCTGAAAACTTCATAACTTATCAGTATTTAGAACGGTTTTTAACATTGTAAATCAATTTTTAAGGAAATTTACAGATTTCCTAACCGATTACCATCGTTCTGATCGAGTACCGGGTAACCGGTTAACGGTTACATATTACCATCCCTAATATATATAAATAAATATATAAATAAAAATTGATTTAAACTAAACGATTACTTTTCTATAGGAATAAATATCATTCAAGCACCTTTGACTAGGAAAGTAGAAATGCGAGTAAGTCAATAAAGTTTTTATTAAATGACGCAAATTTCCGTTTACAACTACAGTTTTCCGTCTCTGGACAATAGATTACTGTGGGCTTTAAGTGTTTTATTACAGTGACATGAAAACCGGAAGTACTCACAACATCGGAATATAAAGTCCTCTCTATCTAGGAGATACCAAAAGATACATTCACTTGTTTGACTTTTGATTTTATTTGTGACCCTGACTTTTCGCTTTAGGTTTCAAAATATTGTGTATTTTTACTTTGATTCTTATTTTCCTACATCTTGGATTTAATGTCTACTTCTGGGATTTATATTTTATTTATTTTTCTTTTGTCTGACAGTGGAAAACTACTTACTGGTAAGTCAATCATAAGGAATTTCAGATTCATAATTTACTCATTTTCTCTCAGTATAAGTGTGTTTTTCAAGTATTTTTTCTTCAAGGGGCGGAAATTTTAAGAATCATTATTTGATCTTTTTTTCAGTTTAGTTACGTAAGATCCTTTAAAGCAATTCTGCTTAAATATTCCATTGTAGATTATTTAGGAACATGTCAGTATGAACCCACCTTGATTCTTATACACATAGATGTTAGTTTATTTACATAACATATCATGTCTGCTTTGAAGATGATAAATTTCAAAAGTGAAACTAAACGTTAAGTGTTTAAAGATCTTCATTCGTTCTCATGCAGGAGTTTCACCTTGATGAGGCTTTCAAAAAAAACTTGAATATCACACACGATATTGTTATAAAACACCTGTTTAATTACCTTTTACCTCTAATGTTTCATAATGAACTGTTATTCTTATCACATTAAATTTTCATTTGTTAATGCTACATTCGGCTTGTACGAGTGCGTGTGAATTTAGAGACATTAACTGACTTAATGCATATCTTTATCATTTGTCGTGCTCATTGTTAATATGTATAATTGATGAAGTCACGTATGATAACATCATTATGATGTGGAAGATATTATGTTGTATATTTTTCTTTCATTTACAGCTACTGAAAATGTTGATATAACAACGTGTAATGGGAATACCACGGATGGTTCAGTGATTAAAGTAAAATATATTGAAATGAAATCTCCCTGTGAGTGTCAGATAGAACCTCAATTTGTTGGTGTTTTAAAATTTGCTTCTAATGTCGTTACTTTTACATGTTATACGGAGATAAACATTTTTGACAAGGACAGGCCAGATGAAGTATTAAGACTTGCATGTGGACTAAGGACTTCTGGCAGATTCAATGTAACCGAAGAAAGTGTCCTTTTTATGACACCTGAATACGTCGGATCTTCAACTGGAACTTTTCATCAAGAGATGATAATATTTGAAGGTATATACAAATATCTGGAGGAAGAAACAAAATTCAATATATATAATTATATCTTTCTGTTCATATTTTGCTGGAAAAAAATACATGTATCAAAAATACCTTAGTAATGATTTGAAACATTAATGTTTAGTGTAATATGTAGTATATTTGATTACATTTGTATGAAACTTGCATTTGATTTGAAAGAGAATTAATGCAGGATGTTGAAAATATGTGTATACATGAATCTCTTAAATGCATTGGGTATAAAGTAACTTTTGATCCAAAAATTTAGTAATTAGATTTAAAAAAAAAAATCGAGTATTAAATTTATTTCTAAAAATGATAAAGTATATTCAGTAGACATCAACATTCAAAGTTCCGGGTTCATTTCTTATGAGAAAGTTTGCTTTTGTATATGAGTACAATGTTACTTTTTCTATTACATTATTTCTGCTGTATTTCTTTCTTACTGCTTGATTTTTCTTTTCTTGTAATATTTATCATGTTCTTAATCCCGCGTGGTGCAGTGGTTGAGCGTCTGCTCTAGAGCCGCGGTGTAAGAAATTAATCAAAATTTCCACCTATGGCAAAGTGGTGGCCTATCCATATGAGTGAAACATTCTCGGGAGGGACGTTAAACAACAAACTAACATATTTTTATTTATATACCAATGTCGCTGAATAGCATGTGTAGAATTTTAGTACTACATATTGCATTTTTTGTATTAAAATTCCAGAAAATAAATATGATACAGACAAGCACTGCATATCTAGATCTTGATCATAAACAAAGTTAAAAATCAAAATATCATGGCAGATATGCTAAGACAACGCACAAATACACTGACTCAGCTCAGTAAACTGCAATGAAATAAGTCACCATAATAATCAAAATGAGGCTAGTATTAAATTGCATATTTAGAGAATATCTGTAATCAAGCATCTATTTTCTTTACTGTATTTTCTTCGAAAATCAAACGATCTTTAAAAAAACAAAACATGTTTTTATAGAAGTATCACGGGAAAACTTACGGAAAATTACTTTCAGATATAAGTTTCAATGGTACAGTTTCTGTTACTTGTGGAAGTAATTTCTCAAGGTCAATGACAACAACAAAATGGACCATAAATACTGATGGGACAAATAACAGAATAACTACCAACAGCGATGCCTCCTTAAAATCAGCAAGAGGGGAAATCCAAAACGACAAAGCAGACAACACAGTTGTATGTAAGAACATGTTTCTTTTTACATCATTGAATTTGATATTTTTTATATTTTACTCTATAACGGTGATAAATTAAGAAGTTACCAAGATATTAATAAGAACATTTAATATAAAATTGATGGAACGCCATTACTCAGTGTTTTCTAAAATTTTTTTTTTTTCAGATATTATACTTGGTGCCGCTGGATTTATTGTGGTATTTTTAGCAGTCGTTACTGTAATTGCTGTTTGTCACATGAGGTTTCTTCTCGACATTTTTTTCAACTTCTTTTTTAAATTTTTGACTTATTATTCAAATGTATTTTACATTGCCAAATTCATAAATAAATAACTGAGTAGAAAAAATTATATTTCAACAAATTTTATTTGCAATATTCTATACAACTGAAGAATTTATTTTCTTTTAGACGAAAACAGTCAGTTCAGAGCACAACAGATCTGAAAGATGAGTTCAACTATGAACAGAAAAAATCAGACATTTATAAGGAACTTCCGGATAATCCTCTTTATCACTCATATCAGTCCGAGGACATGGAACACCAGGTTTATGCTCAACCCAATAAAAACAAAGAAAAGACACAAATAAAAGACGTACCCAAGTCTGTCACGCAGGCGAATTCTTCTAAAGAAGAATATTGTGATATTGTTTATGCCAAAGTAAATAAACAATAAAGAAAAAGAAAACTTGACACTGTGATCTGTATCAAAATCAAAGTAATTCGATTCAGAAATTTTACGAAGCAAGCAGAGTATTACTAAACATTCAATTTTCGGACATTTTTGCACAGAAAAGAACATAAAAAGATAGGATGTCCATAGGCAATTAAGCTTGCGTGATAAACATTATTTGTTTTATTTAAAATGTGAAGATAAATGTATTTCGTTGATTAGCTTCTGTGCCCCAAAGCTGAACACACATTGTTTCAATAAATTTGAAATTATAGTTTATTTATTATCAATTCGTTCTAAGGAAGGTCTATACATATTCAAAAGCAAAAAACAAAGTACGGTTTCATTAAAAATCTGGCCCTGCATTTTTATATTTTAAAATATGAAGTTTTAAATTAAACTCATGCTTTCCGAGTTGTTGAAGTTTCTTGCAGTTAGAATATACAAATCGTTTTTTCTTATATGACCTTCTAACGGCCAATTGTGACGTCATGAAGTTGTGCATTTTCCCGTATTTTCTTAAAAAGATGCAGAAGACATCAATTTTCAGTGAAGTTTTCTCTCCGTTAATATACAGCACATGCAACGCCCACAAAAATATTCAGAAATATGATTTTTCAAAGGATTTCACAAAAATTGCAGTGGACGACGGCTGTGGACACTATATTTTCTAAAAGAAAAATAACCCCCTGAAATGTGTCATTAGGCCTTTTCTGCTAAAAACTTTGAAATGTACAAAATTAATGACTTCGTATTTCTTGAATGGTCCTCTTTCCCACGCAAATTTTTAAAATCTTTTTCTTACTTTTAGAGTGAAATTATGCTACTTTTGTCATGATTTTCATATGTGTGTTTGTGACGGTTTTTGCTGAACAATATACATGTGAAAAAAGATACATTTCATTTTGCAAGGTCTGCGTTTTCAAAATAACGATATTTGATATGAACAATATCTACAGTTATAAGTATCTAATTAGGTAGTTGTTAGAAGGAATCCATGGTTTCATCTGCGTTATATATATAATCAGAGGGGAAAGCACTTTATTTTCGACAAATGAGTCATAAGTAGCATATATTTACAATGAGTCTCGTCTTTCTTGTCTCTTCGTAAGAAATCTATAACATTTAAATGGATTCCAATGCTTTCGGGAAGCAAAATGACAATGTAATATCATTTTGATTTTCAGGGGATATGTTTATAGAAACGAGTGTTGGATTTTTCGGGGGGATTGATTTTTTGAGAATCTTGCCTTTTGATTATATAACTAAAAAAGGGGGAATCAGTAAGTATTATACGGCAGCTTGAGTGAACGATGATAATGAATAGTTTTCAGTCAATTCATGACTGCCATCTATAAAATAAATCCCATAATTTTGCTAGAAGAATTTCAAATGACTTGACTAATATTTAATTTTCAAATGAAATTTCAAGATGATAATTTTACAAATTAAGTTATGCTTGCTATATATATGCATGTATATTTACTTTCAATTTTATATATTTGATATGCATATTGGTATAAATGTTTCAACATACCTGGAAAATAAATACTGAAATAATTCTTAAATTTCTAAATAAAGTTTGAAACTAAAGGCTTAACTTATGGTTAAATAAAAAAAATACATACAGATCAAATAATCCTTCACTATTACATAACAAAAAATTGAATATTTGCAGTAGTGCCCAGAAGATACTCTATGTAGATGTGTTCGGTGGGTACAGATACTTATATATGAGTGGCTGAAAACTAAACATGAGATAAGTTTGCAGGAAACTTCTCCTCGTTATTAATAACGAATTTTATGTGTGAAGTGTTTCTGAACAAACTCGTGGACTTTACCTACGTGACAAAACTCATTTCATGTCCCGAAGGATCTGTAATACACCGGATCCTAGGATAGATGTCATTGGTCATTTGCAAAATTATTTTGTTAAAAAACATTCTGATTGTACACACAAGTACTCTGAAGTTGACATTAAAAAGATGCTTGAGTTTCTGATTGACAATATCTATGTGGTTTTTGGAGACCAGGTCTTCCAACAATCTATTGGAATTTCCATGGGTACCAATTGCGCCCCGTTATTAGCAGACCTTTTTTTGTATTCATATGAAGCAGAATTTGTCCAAAAACTTGTACGTGAAAAGAAGAAATCACTTGCTGTGGTGTTCAACTCGACATTTAGATATATCGACGACGTATTGTCAATTAACAATGGCTATTTTCATTCTTATGTCGATACGATATATCCTGGTGAATTTGAGATAAAAGATATCACAGAGTCCGACACATCTGTTTCATATTTGGATATTTTACTTGAAAAAGACGTTAGTGGTAATCTAACAACCAAGCTTTATGATAAACGTGATGACTTTAACTTTTCAATCGTCAACTTCCCTTAATTATGCAGCAATATACCTTCATCACCTGCATACGGGGTATATATCTCTCAGTTGATTCGATACGCAAGAGCATGCTCTACGTATGTACAATTTCTAAAACGAGGTAAATTATTGACAAATAAGTTGATGAAACAAGAATATCAGCTGTCTCGTCTAAAGTCATCATTTCGTAAGTTCTATGGTCGATACAATGACCTTGTCAGCAAATACAATTTATCATTGAGTCAAATGCTGACTGACGTTTTTCATACTAATTGTTAGGCCATTATTTACACACTGAATTGTCGACGGATTTTTCCGTTATTTCCCGATCATGACAAGGAGCACACGGCGGGTGTGACCGGTCGGCAGGGGATGCTCACTCCTCCATGGCACCTGATCCCACCTCTGATGTTTGGAGGTCCGTGTTTGCTCTGCTCCTATTTTGTATTGTATAATGGACTTTTGAGCTTGAATACTGTTCGTTATCTCCATATATTTCATTAATTATGAAAACGCATTTTGGATGATGAGGTAAATGTTTGTACAAAACGCCTAGATATTTTGTTTTATTTATGTTGGCTTGTGTTTTAAAAGCAATATTTTACTTCTTTCTTTAATTTCTTTCAGTAACCACCAATGCAGTGATGTAAACAGTTACAGGTTTAAATATGGCGCAGGATGTTCTTAGATGTGAATTATGCCTAAACATTGAATTCAAATTGGAAGCGGACGCTTTTTCTAACACTTGTAATGTGAATCTTTGTGAGACCTGTGTTGGTCATCATATCATATCGATGCCTTCCTTGAAGCATAATGTGATGACTCTTTCAAGTCGAAAATGTGATTTTAAAATCCCTGTATGTTCTCATCATTCAAAGCAAAATTGTGAGCTCTACTGTCCAAATTGTGATTCCCCCGTTTGTGTTGAATGCATTCCATCTGGGTCACATAAATTTCACGATATTGAAGAAATAATGAGGTATATAAATCAAAAAGACTAAATACCAGAGTTTGATTCAATAATTGCTGAAATTGAATGCCTTGATCAAGGGCTTAGAGAACAGCATAAAAATCGAAAAGAAGCAATCACACAGTGTGGGAAAACAGCACATGAAGTTTTGGATAAAGTGATAGAGAAATATTTAGCAGATGGAGACACGCTTGAATCAGACGATATCAAATCAGTAACAATACTAAGTCGTGTTTCTTCATCATTTGAAACTGAACGTAGAGTCAGAATTAAAAGAACTGCAAAAGGTTATGTTGGCAAGAGATTTTAGCAAATTGGAGAGCTACTCATCAAAGGTTGAGGAACTAAGAATAATACCAGCTCGTTTTCAATTATCAGTTCCTGCTCTTCAAATGTCCATGCTTTCCGAAGATAAACTTTTTCAAGAAAGTCTACCACCGTCTCTTAAAACTCTTTTTCCAACGGAGACAATTAAATGTCATCATAGCCTTAAAGTGTTTGAAAAAAAATATTTCAAAAAGATTTTGCAAAATCCCAAAGATACTAACCGTTTTTTATATAGGTTTCAAAAACACACTAAGAGTAAGTTGTCCCAGAACACTCGACCATTTTTATGTCAGTGGGGATACAGAATTTATCAGGCTTATAACTAATAGGTAATGTTTTGGAAAAACTGGCGACAAAGACTTGCAAAACCGAAACAGATATAACGGTAACCAAAGATAATGCCTTGGTTTATACTGATGGTAGAGATCGCAGCATAAATATTGTTAAAGATAAAAAAAAAAGCTGAATGTATCATAAAACTTAAAGATTGGAAGCCATGGTCAGTTACCAGTACATCAGCTAATGAACTTCTGGTTTCCTTGTGGACCGAAAGTTTCAAAGATGGCAAAGTTGTTCGTTTTTCAGATTCTCTAGCAATTCAGGAGATTCAATATCGAGAAGATGGACAACCTCTATATCATTACCCTGCTTTTGTGGAAGAAAACGTCAACTTGGACGTGATAGTGTCTGACATAAATGAAAATTGTATCGTTGTTACAGACAAACTGGGAAAGCTAAAGTTTGTATACGAATGAAAGTTTAAATCACAAAGGTACCCAGAATTTCATCCCTTTGGTCTAGCTACTGACAATATCGGTAACATTCTCATTGCAGACAGTGACAACCACATTATACATGTCATCGACGAAAATGGGGTTTTCTTAGAATATATAGATGGCTTTAATTTGAAAGAGCCATATGACATAAGTATCACCGACGATGACAATCTTGTCGTTGTGGAATATAAAACAGGAAAAGCTAAAATCATCAAGTACATCGATTACGCGTAATAGACAAGTGGAAAGTTCTGAATGTTTACAACGATAAAAAGGAGGCGCCATTTCTTTGACAATTCTATTTTGAAAAGGCTGTATGTTCTTTATAAATACAAGAATAATATATAATGTGGTATGGAACAAAGAGCATGGAGTTAAATACAAATGATTTAATAATTTTTATTTTCTAACGTTTATTGGTTAATAATGCGATACCATATTTATTTAGAAACATGAACTTTCGTTTGGGTCCAAATAAAAGTTTTATCAGTGTTTTTAAGAATTCATGATGTTATCATATGAATTCCCATTCATAAATTAGAACTA